TTTTTTTTTTTTTTTGGTTGGTTTCATTTTTTTAGCAGGTATGGAGAAAAGTGCTTCTCCATGTGCTAATCCAGGAATCAATTCTTTTTCAATGTCAACCTTGTTCATTTAAATAGATATTAATTGCTTTTCTTGAGGATTTCTTTAAAAATTGGTTTTAAATGAGTGCATTAGATGGTCCCATTTATTATTCATCAGTTTCATTCCCAATATGGCCCCAATATCCGAATTCCTGGAAATGCTAGCACAGAGCGGAGATGATTTAATCAGGAGGCCATTAATTAGAGATGAGGAGAATGTCCTCCCGGGTGGCCTCAGCAGGGTGGGATCTGGGCCTGTGGGGCTCTGGATTCAATAGGGACCACCCATTGGGGCCCATGTTGGGGGCGGGGGTCAGCCCTGTGCTGCCCCCTCACTACCTTTGTTCTTGCCATCAGTGTCCAGATGAGAAAACCCGGGGGGACTCTCCACCCTTCTTGTACTCCTTCCAGCTTGTCCCTCATCCTTGTGACACCTCACGGTTCCCCACCCCCACCCCTCCAGACCGTCTCTCGAAGGCCACCAGGCAGATCTGGCTAAAGCAAAGCCCTCATCTTATTCTTCCCCTTCTGTGACCCTCAGCCCTGCCTTTAGCCTGATCTCTAAGGCTGCTGACAACTTAGCTTCTGGTTACTTCTTCAGTCTCTGCCTGACTCCCTGATGATGCCTCCCTCCTGCCTCCAGTACTTCCAGTCTTGCCTGTCCTTCCCCTCCAAGAGCTCTGGTCCCCAGGTCAGAGGCCATTCCTGCTCAAGTCCCCTCCAGGTAGATGGGTTCTAGCTTTTCCCTATTCCTTAACTCAGAAGAGGCATGACTCACCTAAAACTATGTTTGAAATTACAAAGCCAAAGAAAAAAGAAAAGGGAAACAATTTGACTGGGGCCCCCACCCTCTCCTACCCAGATTTTTAAAAGCAGCAAAGTTGTTAAAATCCCATTTAAAAAATGGCCAGACCACTCAGGGATCCACCAGAATGATCAATGAGCGAAGAGCCAGTGTTGGGGAATACTCATTTGTGTCCAATTTTCATTGTTGTGATAGAATCCTCAGTTGATTTGATCAAATTGCTTTTAAACTAATTGCTTTTTTTTTTTTTAAAGATGACCGGTAAGGGGATCTCAACCCTTGGCTTGGTGTTGTCAGCACCACGCTCAGCCAGTGAGCAAACCGGCCATCCCTATATAGGATCTGAACCCGTGGCCTTGGTGTTACCAGCACCGCACTCTCCCAAGTGAGCCACGGGCGGCCTTAAACAAATTGCTTTTGATCAAAGCAACTTTGGGTTGGGTCTCCTCCCCCTCCTCCCCCAGGAGTTCGCCCTGGGGAGGGTTGAGCTCCATGCCCCCCACACCACACTTAAGCTCGAGTCCTGGAAACAGGGCCCAGCAGAGATGGGTGTCCAGGCTTGGATTCAGCCTCCACCTCCAGCTCCACCCCCTCCACTGGACACACAGAGCCACCGAAGCGTCAAATGTCAAAGGTCCTGTTTATTCCGGCAACCCAGAAAGGAAAAGTGTAAATAAAAAAGAAACAGATCCATGCACTCAACTTCTGGGGGTGAGGGTGGAAAGTGAGTGATGAGCCATGGGGGAAGCAAAGAGGAGCGAAGGGAGAAGAGAGAAACTGAGAGATGAAGAGGCAGAGGCGGAAAGAGAACTCGAGAGCCAGATCAATAACAGAAAGAGACAGAGGGACATCAATAAAAAGGCAGAAAGACAAAAGTGGAGTATCAAAAGCAGAGATAAATAAAGGAGAAGCAACAAAATGCATGGATAGAAACAGGCAGAGAACAAACTCGGCCAAAAGGTGGGGAGAGAACGTGGCAGAGACAGAGTGATAAACTCTAAGGGACACAGGCAGAGTGGGAAGGACCCTCCGCAGCCTGAGCCACAGCAGTGCCTAGGGGTCCCCCGAGGTGCTGATGACGTGGAAAAGGGTGACGTTGTAGAGCACCTGGTGGCCATTGTTCCAGGTGTAGAGGGCCCGCTCGCGGGGGTTGTAATCCAGCATGGATATGTGGGAGTACTGATTGTGGAAGGGCACGTCCGTGTACTCGTAGCTGGACGTGTTGGTGAAATAGGCAAAGTAGACCTTGGCGCCGGCCAGGTGGGAGTTGGTCACATAGAGCACGCCGCAGATCATGAAGGCCTCGCCGGCACTGCGCTTGGGGTAGCCGGTGTCCCAGGACCGCAGGACCTCCAGGGTGTGCGGGTCCAGCCGGCTGACCACGATGTTACCCGCGTTCTGGTTGGTGGTATACACGGCCCAGAGCCCGCTCTCATCCACCATGAAGTCCATGTCGGAGAAGCCGCCCCAGGAGTAGGGGAAGGTGTTGTTGTAGCCCGCCCCCGGGAGGCTCCTCTGCACCAGCACGGAGCGTGAGCGGAAGTGGTACTTGACCACCACGTTGCTCTGGTACTTGTTATAGAACAGGGAGCCGTTGTACACCACGTGGCCCGTGCCCGCCCAGGGCTGCGGCAGCAGGTGCTGGATAAAGTTCTGGCCTTTGATGAAGTCTCCCAAAGTGCGGAACTCCAGAACCCGCCGGCCCTTGTAATAGCCGTCCATGTACCAGACCTACAAGAGCAGCCACTGGTCACGGGGGGGGCCACTGACAATGGCCCCAGAGTCCCAGCAACCACTCAGGAATCAGTCATCGTCACTGGAGATCAACAGTCACTAAGCGGTAATTAGTCATGGGGTTCCACTGATCATTCCTGACCAATCACCATCCCACCGACGGATCATTTGGCCGGTGTGTGCTTTTGGTCTTAAAACAGACACTAAGTGGATGATACTTGATCCCAAAAGATCAGGGGGAATTGCACTCCCTGGGGACTCCGTGGGGCCCAGGAATTCACTGGTTATTGGATATTGGATGGTGGGTAGTCACTGGAAAGCCATTGGGTGATAAGAGGTCACTTAAATTCATTGCTCATGAGTAACCCTTGTAACCACAACATGACCAGCATGTCATCATCTTCTCTGTTATCAGCATCATCATGTTAATTAGCACTCGGGAGTGCCCTTAGTATGGAGCTAAGCATCTTAAAAACTTCAGTGCTGACGTTATCATGCCCATTTTGAAGATAAAGAAATTAGTCAGAACATTAAGGAACCTGCCCGTGGTGGTGGGACTGGAATACAAATCCAAGTCTGATTCCTTAACCAACCAATCGGTTGTACAACCATAATCCCTGGGGGTCCAGGGATCATGGCAGTATGGTGGCTATTTACTACCCATAATCTATGACACTCAGTGGCCACCCACTGACCAATATCTGTCACCAGGAAGGTCGCTGTTGCAGGATAGTCACTGGGCAGTTCATCGATGGTTCTTGTGGGTCTAGGTGATGGGCAATCATGACCATGGGGGCCACTGGAAGCCCAAAGGTCACTGAGCAGTGCTGGCAGGTCTTTTGTCCTTGGGAAGGCACTGGTTACTGGGCAGTTACATAGAGGTCATTGGCCACTGGGAACTGGTTAGTAGCGCTCAGTGACCATTAGTCTCTACAGTCACTAGAGGTCAACAGACTTTGAAATTTACAGGGCTGGAAGGTTGTTGGTCACTTGGTGGTCACTAGAAAGTCGAGGGGAGGTCCAAGGGCCCTGGGGATCCAGGACACTTTGGGCTACAAGAGAGTCATTGGTGTGGAATCCCTGGGCACCTATGGGCAGTCACAGGCTATGTTCCTCCCAGGCTCTGACCCCTGGGGTGGGCACAGTCACTCACCCGGCTATCCGCACTGGGGGCCATCGTGTCGGTCATCCAAGAGCCGAAGCGGGACCCCATGGCCCGTATGGTGATGGGGTTACTGACCCCAGTCAGCTTCCCACAGCCTGGGAGGCAGGAACAGGGGGGAATGAGGGTGGGGGATGGGAAGAGCCCAAGAAAGGAAAGGCAAGGACCAAGTGTTGTGACCAAATTGGGAAGAGCTGGGACCAGGGGTGAGGGGGGATCCAGAAATCTGGTCCCGATATGGAATTAGGTTGGGGTGAGGGGTTGGAAGCCAAAGGTCAGGGCCATTTCCAGCTTCTGGGCCCAGTTTGACCTTGGGTATGTAGGTCAAAGGTTGAAGTTTAGAAGTTAGAGGTCAAAACTGCCCAGCTTCTGGCACATGGGTGGTACTGGAGTTGGGTGTGGAGGTCAGGGGTCAGGGTCAAGGGTCAAGGCATACCCAGCTTCTGGGCGCAGGCATGGAGCCGGGCCTCCAGTGCCATCACCCGCTGCTGCAGGTCCTCGTACCCGTAGGCGCCCATCTCCTCCTGGATGGCTGCGAGGCTGCCAGAGAGATTCCTCACCTCCTCCCGCAGGCGCACAATCGTCCGCGTGTCCGCCTTGTACTGCTCCAGGACCGAGCTCAGGGGCAACAGCTCCGTCATCCTGTCCTTCAGCTCCTGTGCACCAAGATGGAACCCTGCGGAGCTCGACCCATGACCTTTGACCCAGACCCAACCTGACCTCTGACCCATAACTTCACCCCTTGTCTTTGTTGCATAATTGGCCCTTGACATTTGGCCCCTACTGGTCCCTAGATCCCAGCCAACCCTCAGTTCTTCCCAGACGTGACTCCATTCTCGGAATCATGGGCACCCACCTTGAGCATTCATTCCCTTGACCTTTGACCTGAGCCCAGAAGGACCCACCTGGAAGCTCTTGGCCGAGAGGGATCCATCGGCTGCCCGGAGCCGTGCGTCCAGGCTCCGCATGAGTGTCTCCATGCTGCGCACATATTGGAGGTCACGATACGTCCGCAGCTCAAGGACCTCCATGGACTGGGAGATGTTCTGGACCTAGGAATGGGGACAATTCAGGAAAGCAAGACTTCTTCTCCTGCCCCTGACCCAGAGATGCTACAGACAAGGCCTGGCAGGGCAAGAGGTCACACAAACACCCAACCAGGCCACCTTCTCCTTCCCTGATCTTACCAGCTACCTGTGAATGGCATGCCCAATCCATCCATTCCCCTTCCCTCTGGTTCCCACTGGGTCTGCCCACCACCACCTATCCCCTCCTCCCCGGTCTCCCTGCTTCCACCCTCACCCTCTGCAGTCAGTTCTCCACGTAGCAGCCAGAGGGAACTTTACAAAACAAAGATTAGACCACCTTTCTCCCCTGCAGATCCTCCATGGGCTAGTCCTGCCCCCTGACCTGCTTCCTCTCCAAGTTCACACCACTCCAAATACCAGCGCTCTCTGTTCTCACAGACTCTAAGCTCCCTCCCTCCTCAGGGCCTCCGCACATGCTGATCCCTCTACCTGGAGTGCTGTTCCCTTCATTTTCCCATGGCTGTCTCCTTCTCGTCCTTCAGGTCTCAACTCCAGAATCACCTCCTCAGTGTGGCCTTCCCCAACTACCCTGTCTCAGTAGCCACTCACTCACTCTCCCCTTACATGGCTATTTTCTTCCTAGCTGTGACTACTATCTGGAACTTTCTGATTCACCTTCCTCCTTCAGGTGGGTTCCTCAGAGGCAGAGCCAGTGTCTAGCTTATCCACAGCCAAATCCCCAGGGCCCAGCACTGGCCCCAAGTAGTTGCTCGATAAATACTTTCTGGCTGAATGCATGCCCCGAAGAAGCTCCCATACCCTAGTCTCACCTGACCCAGCCTGAGGTGAACTTCACCTGGCTAAAGTAGGCTCCACTGGGCTAAGGTGGACTCTACCTGGCTAAGGTGGACCCTACTGGGCTAAGGTGGATCCCACCTGGCTAAGGTAAACTCAGTCAGAGACATCACTGGATACTTGTTGAAATACCCAGACTTTCCTGAACAATTGGTCACGTGACTCTTGGTAATTCTCAGAAGCCCAACAGCTTGATACCCGCCCTGGATGCCACAAAACATTTTTATAGTAGTCCCCTTTTATCCGTGCTTTTGCTTTCCAGATTTCAGTTACCCGTGGCCAATTGCGGTCTGAAAATATTAAATGGAAAATTCCAGAAATAAACAACTCATGTGTTATAAATAATGGGCTGGCCGGTTAGCTCAGCTGGTTAGAGTGCAACCTTGTTAACACCAAGGTCACAGATTCAGAGTCCCCATACTGGCCAGCCACCAAAAAAAATATATATATAACTTTTATGATAGTATATTGTTATAATTCTATTTTATTGTTATTGTTGTCAATCTCTTACTGTGCCTAATTTATAAATTTAACTTTATCATAGGTATGTTCGTAAGGAAAAAGTACATGTAGGATTGGGTACTACTGCAGTTTCAGGCATCCGTGGAACATCTTGGAACTAATTCCCCACAGCTAAGGCTGGACGACTATATAGCTACTGTTGACAGAGGACACCACTTTGGATGTCCCAAATTATTGGGGAAAACAGTTTGGGCATTGTGGGCAGGGCAGAATCCTGTGGAGTTAATGGGTGGGAGACTCTGGTGCTGACAAACTCTTCTCCTCTCTGCCAAATGTCAGCTTCCTCCTCTATAGAACGATGATGGCTGCTGGTCCCCTTCATCACCGGCATCAGAGCTAATGAGCAGTTCAGCTGGGCAGTGGCAAGGGACAGCGATCTGGCTATAAAGGGCAATGAAACATCCTCGGGGATGTATTGAATGGGGACCATTTTGCATCGACCATGATCAGAGAGGGTAGGAATCCTTACAAGAGCCTCGAGGTGGAGGGTGAGAGCCCCCCACCCAAGGGACATGGAACGCTTCTCAGTAGGTGAGTCTGGAGAACTGAAGGGCTGAATGGAACATGCACAGTAGGGCCAGAGCTCACGCACAGGAGACAGGTGCCACCACTGGGTCTTCCTTCCTCCCCGACCCCACAAGCCTCAGCTTCTCTTCCAAAGAAGCCTTGAACAGATATGAATAAATTATCCACCAGCAGGGGAACCGGGGTATCAGCCAGCTCTGGATAATCTGGATGGTTGGATGTAGCCTAGGCTGATCCAGAGGGCGACAGAGGGCAAGGAGATTTTCACAGCCTACCCCGGGGAACCTGGTAGGTTCCCACCTTCTCCATCAGCTGCCGCAGCTCCCGACTCCGGCCATCGCGGGAGCAGGTGCTCTGTGCGGGGATCACGGCCGTGCAGATGCATTTCCCATCGGGGGCCTGGGCCGAGGTGTACAGCTGCCAGCCCTCTTCTGGGCTCTGGAAGAGAGTCTGCAGGGATGTTGGGGTTAGAGAGGGGGACCCACCTTGCCCCTCCAGGAGAGAAAGAGGGCCCAGGGAAATGACAGATGCCCTTTGCCAGATGGACATTTGGAATGTGCTGGACCATGGGCCTGCTGCATATGACCTCAATCCCTTTTGAAGGAGCCCCATTTTACAGATGACAAGACTGAAATGTGGAGGTGTTAAGGAACACAGCAAGGAATTATGGGACTTGAGCCCTTCCTCAAGCTGGGAATTCATTGTCCCACACATTTGCACACACATACAACACTGCCTCCATAACAGCCACTAGAACATACATCCACTCATAATAACCCACAAACCCGGACCTCTCTCTCTCCTTCCCCGGTCCATGGTGACAGATGGGCTCTGACTATATCTCAGGGGCCACTAAGTGCTAAGTGCCACTCTGCTATTCCCCTACCCTATCCCAAGAAGCCCAGGCAAGGTTATGCCCAACATGAGAAAAAATCTCGCTGAGACTTTCTAGGTTCTTGGATAGAAGGCATCGCCTTCAGACTCCTCCTAAATTAAATTTCAGGTCAATGGATGCTGCTCAGATAATCCAGTGATCAGTTACGGCTGTGTTTCCCATGCTCCTTGGAACAGCAGCAATCTTACCAGATGTGCTGGACAAAGGGTGCTCTGGTCAAATAAGTTTGCGCATTGTTGGGTGAAACAAGTTTCTTCACTGCAGGACTTATCAGAGCCTTTGAAATGCTAATGTCAAAGGGAATTCGAGACAGCCATAATTGCCAATCTTATTAGAAAATATCCAGTGAGGGGCCGGCCCGGTGGTGCACTGGGTAGTGTGCTGCTTGGGAAGCACGGCGGCGCTCCCGCCCGAGGGTTCGGATCCCACATGCGGACCGGTCCCCGCTCACTGGCTAAGCGGGGCGCGGGAGCAGCGCCGAGGGTTGCGATCCCATTGCCGGTCCCTGGTCTGGTACAGGGGCAACACTGGGGGTTGCGATCCGTTGCCGGACATGGAAAAAGACAAAAAAAAAAAAGAAAATATCCAGTGAGAGCCTATTCTATCCCCGGCATAGGGCCTGGGATAGGAGCAAGGAAGAGAAGGATGAAGAAGGAATAGAAAAGAAAAAGGAATAAAAAGAGGGTGTGGAAAAACATGGAACTAGTGGGGGAAACAGACATCAGACATGTAATCCTAATGATACTTCTAGAACCACATGCTATAGAGAATGCTTTGAAGAAATAGTATAGGGAGTAACAGGGGGTCTTTCCCAGGCTGGGGGTGTCAGAGAAGGTGCCCCAGGGGAGGGACATTTGAGCTGAACTTGAAGGATGAGTGAGCCAGGAGAAGCAGAGAGAGGAGGGAAGACTTTTAGCTTGACAGATCCTATCAATACCTGGAGAGATATGAGAAACACTGTCCAAAAAGCAGTGAATACTCACTGGACAGACCTGGGCCCCATTTTAGGGCCCCTGGAACTTCCCTGGAGCATAGCAGAACCAGTCAAAAGTCCTGAGAGGGCATGATGGTCTCATTTCTAAGTAATTTTTTGGGCGGCTGCACCCTAACCACTGAGAAAACCAGCCAGGCCCCCGTGATGGTCTCATTTGCTCAACCAATATTTGTTGAGCTCTTACTGTGTGCCAGATTCTATTACGGATGTTGAAAATGTAGCAGTGAACAAAACACACACACGCGCTCATGCGCACTCCTCTAGGAGCTTTTATTAAAGAGGAGGGAGAGAGAAATAAAAAGGATGGGGGACACTGGGGTTGGAGAGCACCAGGATTGCAACTTTAGGTGTCATTTGAGTAAAGACCTGAAGGACATGAGGGAGGGGCCATGCAGATGTCCGGGGAACAGGGTTCCAGGCAGACAGAACAGCGAGTGCAAAGGCCCTGAGGCACGACAGAGTGAGGGAGTAAGTGGAGGGAGATGGGAGCAGGAGGTGACAGTGGGCAGAGTGCATGGGGCCTTGCAGGCTGCAGTGAGGACTTTGACTTCAGCTCTGAGTGAGGTGGGAGTGAGCCATACAGGGTTCTTTTTTTTTAAGATGACCAGTAAGGGGACCTTAACCCTTGACTTGGTATTGTCAGCACCACGCTCTCCCAAGTGAGCCACAGGCCAACCCTATGTGGGATCCGAACCCTTGGCCTTGGTGTTATCAGCACCGGACTCTCCCAAGTGAGCCACAGGCTGGCCCTGAGCCATAGAGCGTTCTGAACAGAGGAGGGATGTGCCTTGACTGGGGTGTTCATAATGGCTTCTGGCTGCTTTGAGGGTTGGGGGGAAGAAGACCAGGGCAGAGGTGACAGCATGGGTCCATGCAAGCAACAATAAGCTGTGGCCATAGAGGTGGGACCTTAGAAGATTCTGGTCCTGGGCTGGCCAGTTTATCTCAGTTGGTTTAGAGCACGGTATTGATAACACCAAGGTCAAGGGTTTGGATCCCCATACCGGCCAGCCACCAAAAAAAAAAAATGATTCTGGTCCTATCCAGGATGCATTCCTATGGGCATGGATGAAAATCTAATAAAACCCCAAGTGTTTTACAGAGAAACAAAGCACCACAATCACTGGCCATTTGCGCAGCCAATGACTGATCACCTAGCAGAGGCTGTTCCCACGAGCAGCAGCAGAGCTAAGGTGGGCCGAGAGTTACGAGCAATCCTGGGGGCTTCAGTTATTAACCCACCCATTTTCTCTCCCACTCTATAAAGCATTTTTTTTTCTTAAGCCTATTGGAATGTGAGCAAATGATATAATTGTACAGATGAGCTTGACTCTTCCACTAATTTATAAGAAAAAGAAACCATTCATAAGCACCATCTGAAACTACTATAATTAATCACTCTTTAGGAGTCCACATCCCCCTGATGGAGAAATGAAGTAATGCCTTCTCAACCTTCCTTGAACCCAAGTATGAGCTGGGTGGTGCCAACACTCACTGCAGAAGCTCCCAGGATTCCCCACCATAGAGGACTTTATCTGAATTGTGAAAGCACTGGGACTGTGCTCCAGTTGTCCACAGCGGCAACCTGCTCATTAACTCCCAATGCATGGGTTTCCTTCTGTCCCTTTCACATGTCTCAGCTCTGGTTCTTCCTGGGATCACCCTTATATTAGTCCGTTTTTGTTGCTTATAACAAAATACCTGAAACTGGGTGATTCGCAAAGAAAATGAAATTTACTGCTTACAGTTTCTGAGGCTGGGAAGTCCAAAGTCCATCTGGTGGTGGCAACAGTGACCCAGGGGTCCCACATTGCAAGATGGTGGAAGCAGAGAGAGAGAGAAAGACAGACTCTCCTCTTCTTTTAAAGTCCTCAGAACCATGCCCCTGACCACCGTTTTTAATCTATTCACTACTGCAATCCAATCACCTCTTCAAGGCTCCACCTTTCAGTTACCATAATAGGATTCGAACCCAAGTATGAGCTGGGTGGTGCCAACACTCACTGCAGAAGCTCCCAGGATTCCCCACCTAGAGGACTTTATCTGAATTGTGAAAGCACTGGGACTGTGCTCCAGTTGTCCACAGCGGCAACCTGCTCATTAACTCCCAATGCATGGGTTTCCTTCTGTCCCTTTCACATGTCTCAGCTCTGGTTCTTCCTGGGATCACCCTTATATTAGTCCGTTTTTGTTGCTTATAACAAAATACCTGAAACTGGGTGATTCGCAAAGAAAATGAAATTTACTGCTTACAGTTTCTGAGGCTGGGAAGTCCAAAGTCCATCTGGTGGTGGCAACAGTGACCCAGGGGTCCCACATTGCAAGATGGTGGAAGCAGAGAGAGAGAGAAAGACAGACTCTCCTCTTCTTTTAAAGTCCTCAGAACCATGCCCCTGACCACCGTTTTTAATCTATTCACTACTGCAATCCAATCACCTCTTCAAGGCTCCACCTTTCAGTTACCATAATAGGATTCCCCACTCTCTTAACAGTCACAGTGGGGGCTAAGTTTCTAATACATAAAACTTGTGGGACACAATTCAAGCTTCAGTGAGTTTTGGGGGGGGGAACATCATTCAGTCCACTAGAGTCCTCCTAGGTGAATATATGCACTTAAGTCCTCCCCTTGGGAGCCTGACTTAAGACAAGAAGGGTGGCCCAAGAAAGCCTTCCCCCTTGGTTTGCCTGCTTTGATGACAAATTCAATTCTTTAAAAGCAAAACAAAGAAAAGCAATGAACGTGAGCCCAACCATCCCTTCCCATCCTCCCCTGGCTCCGATCCCCAAGCAATTTGGACAGAACCCCCCAAGATTCTCATTTGTGCGGAGACAACGCAGCCCAGTTCAACGTAATTAAGATCTCCCTACATTTCCTAGCGTGTCCTTCGAAGCAAACAAACAAGCCATTTTCTCTCAACATATGAAATATTGAATTGTAAAAGAGAAGCAAGATTTAAGTGGCACAGAGAGAAGGCCTCCATGGCTTTCCTAAAATAATTGTCTGCGTTGGACGCGCCTCGCTGGAGTGTTCTCTGCAGCAGTGTAATTAAATGCCTGGGGTTTGGCTGCTGAATCTCAGCACGCAGAGCTCCAGAGTTTTGCCAGTTGGGTTTAAGTTCAAATACGCAGTCAAGTTCATGTCCCCAGGAACCGTTGGAATGTCCTGGAAAGCTCCACATTTGAGAGTCCAAATGCCAGCTCTCCCAGACTGGGTCTAGCTTGGAACCAAAGTCACTAACTCTTGGAGGTCAGAGCCCTATGGAGGAATAGAAAGTGTCCTATCCCCAGGGAAATGCTTAGAATAGTAGGTGTGAGAACACAGGAATTCTCAGATGTAGCAGTCACCCCTTATCTGCGGTTTCACTTTCCAAGGTCAACTGCAGTTCAAAAATATTAAATGAAAAATTCCAGAAACAAACAGTTCATCAGTCTTCAATTGTGCACCGTTCTGAGTAGCGTGATGGAATCTCTTGCCCTCCTGCTCTGTCCCACCTGGAACGTGAATCATTCCTTTGTCCAACATATCCACAAGGTCTATGCTCCTGTCTGTTAGTTCAAGTAACCTCCATTTTATTTATTAATGTCCCCAAAGCACAAGAGTAGTGATGCTGGCAGTTCGGATATGCTGAAGAGAAGCCATAAAGGGCTTCCTTTAAGTCAAAAGGTGAAAGTTCTTGACTTAATAGGAAAGAAAAAAAAATCGTACATTGAGGTTAAGATCTACAGAAAAAA